ATAGGGTTGATAGTGAACCTTTGAAACATAATCGATCAAAGAAACAAAAATATTTGGTGCATTGCAGAAGTTACACCCCTCCAAAGTGCATGACACATTTATCTAGGATCGAATTTTTTCAAAAATTCACGTGAATATCAAAATGGCAAAGGGGTGCATCTTCCTAGGGGTTTATAGGGTTGGTAGTGAATCTTTTAATCATAATCGATCAAAGAAACGCTTCTTGCGCATTCATAGGGTTGATAGTGAACCTTTGAAACATAATCGATCAAAGAAACAAAAATATTTGGTGCATTGCAGAAGTTACACCCCTCCAAAGTGCTTGACACTTTACTAAAATCGAATTTAAAAACAAATTACGTTAATATCAAAAAGTGCGAAGGGGTACATCTTCCTAGGGGTTTATAGGGTTGGTAGTGAATCTTTTAATCATAATCGATCAAAGAAACAAAAATATTTGGTGCATTGCAGAAGTTACACCCCTCCAAAGTGCTTGACACTTTACTAAAATCGAATTTAAAAACAAATTACGTTAATATCAAAAAGTGCGAAGGGGTACATCTTCCTAGGGGTTTATAGGGTTGGTAGTGAATCTTTTCATCATAATCGATCAAAGAAACAAAAATATTTGGTGCATTGCAGAAGTTACACCCCTCCGAAGTGCATGACACTTTTAACTAAGTTCGAATTTTCTTAAAAAATTATGTGAATATCAAAATGGCGAAGGGGTACATCTGCCTGCGCATTTATAAGGCTGATAGTAAACCTTTGAAACAGAATCGATCAAAGAAACAATAATTTTTGGTGCATTACAGAAGTTACACCCCTCCAAAGTGCTTGACACTTTTAACTAAAATCGAATTTCAAAAAAAAAAATTACGTTAATATTCAAAATGGCGAAGGGGTACATCTTCCTAGGGGTTTATAGCGTTGGTAGTGAATCTTTTAATCATAATCGATCAAAGAAACAAAAATATTTTGTGTACGGCAGAAGTTACACCCCTTCGAAGTGCATGACATTTTTAACTAAGTTCGAATTTTCTTAAAAAATTACGTGAATATCAAAATGGCGAAGGGGTACATCTTACTGCGCATTTATAGGGTTGATAGTGAACCTTTGAAACATAATCGATCAAAGAAACAAAAATATTTGGTGCATTGCAGAAGTTACACCCCTCCAAAGTGCTTGACACTTTTAACTAAAATCGAATTTTAAAAAAAAATTACGTTAATATTCAAAATGGCGAAGGGGTACATCTTCCTAGGGGTTTATAGCGTTGGTAGTGAATCTTTTAATCATAATCGATCAAAGAAACAAAAATATTTTGTGCACTGAGAAGTTACACCCCTCCGAAATGCATGACACTTTTAACTAAGTTCGAATTTTCTTAAAAAATTACGTGAATATCAAAATGGCGAAGGGGTACATCTTCCTGCGCATTTATAGGGTTGGTAGTGAATCTTTTAATCATAATCGATCAAAGAAACAAAAATATTTTGTGCATTGCAGAAGTTACACCCCTCCGAAGTACATGACACATTTAACTAAGTTCGAATTTTCTTAAAAAAATTATGTGAGTATCAAAATGGCGAAGGGGTACATCCTCCTAGGGTTTTATGGAGTTGGTAATGAATCTTTTAATCATAATCGATCAAAGAAACAAAAATATTTTGTGCATTGCAGAAGTTACACCCCTCCAAAGTGCTTGACACTTTTAACTAAGATCGAATTTATTTAAAAAATTACGTGAATATCAAAATGGCGAAGGGGTACATCTTCCTAAGGGTTTATAGAGTTGGAAGTGAATCTTTTAATCATAATCGATCAAAGAAAAAAAATATTTTGTGTACTGCAGAAGTTACACCCCTCCGAAGTGGATGACACTTTTAACTAAGTTCGAATTTTCTTAAAAAATTATGTGAATATCAAAATGGCGAAGGGGTACATCTTCCTGCGCATTTATAGGGTTGAACCTTTGAAACATAATCGATCAAAGAAACAAAAATATTTGGTGCATTGCAGAAGTTACACCCCTCCAAAGTGCTTGACACTTTACTAAAATCGAATTTAAAAACAAATTACGTTAATATCAAAAAGTGCGAAGGGGTACATCTTCCTAGGGGTTTATAGGGTTGGTAGTGAATCTTTTAATCATAATCGATCAAAGAAACAAAAATATTTGGTGCATTGCAGAAGTTACACCCCTCCAAAGTGCTTGACACTTTACTAAAATCGAATTTAAAAACAAATTACGTTAATATCAAAAAGTGCGAAGGGGTACATCTTCCTAGGGGTTTATAGGGTTGGTAGTGAATCTTTTCATCATAATCGATCAAAGAAACAAAAATATTTGGTGCATTGCAGAAGTTACACTCCTCCAAAGTGCACTCGAAAGTGCCTTTTAAATAAGATCGATTTTATTTTAAATTACGTGGTTATCAAAATGGCAACGGGGTGCATCTTTTTGAAGATTTAGAGGGTGATAGTGAACCTTTTCAACGTAATCGATAAAAGAAACGCCAATATTTAGTCATCTGAGGGGAGAAATTCGCCCTTAATGTACGCAATTCCTTTTAACACCCAAAAAAGTGCCAGATTCCCATGTTTTTTATGTTTAGATTTAGATTTATCTGTAGTACTACCGAAAAAATAGCGACTGTCCAGCGGATGAAATCCCGTAAAAAATTTGCGGTTCGTCTTACAAAATGGTATAGGTAACAAAAACACCAATAAACCACAATAACATTTTAATAAACCCTGATACTTCAAGAAGATTTCTATAGCGATTTTTCCCAACGTTTAAATACTTCAGATACTTTTCTTTGTTTCTTCAGATTATTCAAAATGTTTCATTTCTTCGAGTTTTTCCCATTCTGCAGCTTCAGAAGCCTTTTGAATTCTTTAATGTGATTCCACTTCCTCCATTCTCCAGATTATTCTTTATATTCTACTTCTTTTGCTAATTTTTCATTTATTCAGATTCTTATGATTCTTCCGATTTCTAAGAATCCATTCGAATCTTCTAATTCTAATTCTTCTGCAAATTCTTGAGATCCATATGATTATCAAAATTCTTTGGATTTTTCCGTTTCTTCGAGTTCTTCAAATTTTTCGCATTAAAACTTTAAGACACTTCTTTATGAAGGGCTTCGCGAAGGGCTGAAGGGGTTTCACAATTACAAAACGACGTCGCACTCTTCCTTTTCACTTTAAATTATAATCCAGAGTTTGACATTTACAAGGCAAAAGCTAGTCACCGGAAAATTAAACCTAAAAAGCCAATACCCGATCATAAAAGAGATTGCATGTCAACGTTTACGCTAAGATCCCAAATTACAAGGAGGAAAGTTTTGACGTAAAGTTTAATAACAAAACATTCTAGTGTACGAAAAATGTCACATTTAATCCCACGACCTGAAATACGACTTTCTGAAAATTTCTAAAAGCGACTGTCACACGATCTTTATACTTAGATCTTTAAAGTGCACCGAGTGCAATAAAAAAAGTTAGTTCGAAAGAAGCTAATTACGATAAAGTAAACACAACTTGATGGAAAAACGAATGCTTGGCCGATTGCCAAACGGAATACTAAAAATACTTTGATAGTTAAATTATTGAAAAGCTAGTTTATAGGTCGTAGAGTCACGCACGGGCACTAAATAGTTGAAATTAACTTACCCTTCCGACAAAAAATCTCCGATAACATTTAGCCGTATCGTCGGTTTCAATTTTCGCCCTCCACGTTCCGTGAGGTATAACGGGCTGGCCCCTATGGTCGTAATGGCATTCGTGATCGGTCCCATCGATCCAGTAACCCTTATCGGGAATAACTATCATGGGATAGGGTGAGGAGCGGGCCAGAGTGTCTTGAAGTAGTCGCTTCGATGCGATCGCCTGCTGCGGGGACGCCGGCGGTGTTTGTTGCGATGGGGTCGCGATGGGAGAGATTTTAATGTTATTATTCGATAGTCTGTCATCTTTGTTGTTGTCCTTATCGTTGTGCCTCTGTGTCGTCGGCTGTAACAAAAAAAAAGGGCTCGATGAGATTAGAGTTTTCCAGATAGGGCACGCAAACTACTAACAAGCAATCGATTTCGCGTGTCTTGTCTCTACGCCCCATTGTCGCGTTAAGGGCAGAGACTGATTGATAGGGTTGAGATCATTTTCTCCTCCCATCCAGATTAAAGGTCATCACTTCCATCTGTTATCACCTCAGTGGTTTGGAAAGGTTAATAGTAATTGATTATGATTACGTAACGTCTATGACCGATAAGCTTAAAAAATTACACGCTAACATTTCGCACGACTTTGATGGATTGATTGAAATCGAGCCGATCGAATCTAATTTCGCACTTCAGCGCTTATTTCATTTATTTATAACCGTTCAACGCACGAATGGTACACATTTTCGTGGCGCCTTTCGTATATTTAGAAACACGGAAAAATTGTGCGGCCATTTCCGATCGTATGCCAATAAAATAGGAACGTGTGCCGTAAACAGGTGAGAAGGCAGAGAGAAAAGAAGCTTCCAACTGTCAATATCAGACGGGACTTGCGGCTTAAGTTTTACCTGACCAATTTTATGACAAAAAGGATTTGCAATTTTCCAGGCCCGAGTTATAAACGAGGCTGGAAAGAGTACACAAGCCAAGACTTCCAATATACCTGGGTTTAGTGCGCTTGAATTGTCAAAGCCGGCAGAGATTCGAACAGAAGGTAAACGTGGATGATGCAGAAAAAAAACGTGAATACAAAAAAGTGAAATCATTGTTTTCGGGATATGCAGGTGGTTAGCCTATCCGCCCCCTCGTTCTAAAATTAATATGGGTCATTATTGTTCTTAATTATTGTTAAAGAGAATTTGCTAAAAGGCTGATAAGTGGACTTTGATCGTAGTTAGTAGTCACTGAATTATTATATTTAATTGAATGTGTTCTTTCACTGTGTCCTGTACCTCATATAGTGGATTACTGTAATATTCAGGAGGTTATGGGTCCAAGAACATTGTGGAAGTGGGGTACATGACGCTAATAAGCCCCCCATGTATGATCATAAAATTAATAAAAATGGCTAAATGTTAAATGTTTTCAATACAAAAAATTGCGAAAGAAGCACTAAATTTTCAACAATCTTAAAAGTTCAATTTCATATTGCTTTTCAGTTGGTAATGGTGCACTTAAAATTCCTGAGTGCGACCTTTAATTTCTTAAGAGGTTATGTTATTTTTCCACGATTTAATAAACGTTAAACAATGATGTGCGTTTTTAATTATACCATAATAGCAGTAGTTCTCTACATGGAAAAAGCGTTCGAAGTTAATCGGTAATCGCTAACAAAGAGAAGAGTGAGAAATATTACTTTCTCTCCCGACTGGGGCTTCTTCCGCAAATTTGTTTGTCGAACACGCTTAATTGGTGCCCTCTATTCGTTTTTATTAATTTCATTATCGTATCTTATTAGCGTCACATAACGTGGAAGTGAATTAGTGACTGGACGAACGAACGGATGACACTGTACGAATCAGCGAAGATTGAATCACTGATACACGAAAATTGTCGTTCACGGTGTCGTCAAATGGCCTATGGGAATACATGTCAGGTTAAAAAGTGAATCCAGAACTTCAAATCGGAGAAAATGGAATTCCGACAGCAACGTCAATGGCTGAAAGAAAAACTTGGTTAAAAAAAGATGAAGATGCGCAATCCTTGGTGAGTTAACCAATGAATGTCAGACCTCGAAAGAAATGTGGAAGAAACTGCAGAGAATTCACTTGACACAGGGATCACTAAGAAAATCAATGCTGATTAGAAAGTTTGTAGTAACGAGACTAAAGGAGGAAGAGGATATGAGAAAACATTTAAATGACCTGTTTATAACATGGCAAAAACTCAAGGAACTGTCACTGGAGATCAGTAAGAAATTATTTTACCCAAAATCGTCCTGAAACCTTCATTTTCATGCCTACTTTCTGTAAGGAAATTTGAGTTTCCATGACAGAGGCAGAGCAGACTACATTTCCTGCCGCTTGTCACTTTACTGGCCGCACCCATCACTTTACCGGCCGCACCGTCACTTTACAGGCCGCATTTGTGACATTTCTAATGTCTATAATGACACCTGTCGTCACTGACAGATTGACATTAATCAAAAGTTTTATATACAAATTGAAATGTTATACTAAAATACGATTTCGAGTAAAATTTAATACAAAACTCGTCAGTAAAATGGCATTACTTGACTCGGAAATTAAAGTACTCGGCCCCCAAGGTGCCTTCAATATTTCCTCGCCAGTAATGTGTCATTTTCATGACTTTTATGAAAATAACTAAGTATTCTTATCTCGTTTTACTGAGTCTTCTACCAAGTTTCGAGGTACTTTGTACAACGCTGAAGTCTCACCCCAGGAAACTGAGAATCAAGATCATTGAATGCCTTGATTCAAGGAAGCACAGAGACAGGAATTTAAAATGCCATGGTTGCAAAAAAGAGTTTCGACAAGTTGGGGAAAAATGAGAAGAAGGACACATGGCCAAATTTTGCAACAAGAAAGAGAAGAAAAACAACGCAACCAAGGTAAACGTATACATGTGGATGTGGAAGCTACAGCGACGTATCCTGAAGTAGTAATACCAGAAGCCTTTGGAGGATTTCTCAAATATGAGAGAAGCAATTGGTGCATTGAGGTCACGCTACAGAATACAAATAGAATGAAGTTAAAACTCGCCACCAATTCGTCGACGAAGATAAAAGAGGGATAGTGGAGATTAAGTCGGATTTTGACGGAAAAGTCTAGGACGTTAAAATTCAGGACGTGTTCTAGGTTCAAGATCTGCGAATGAACCTTCTATCTGTGGGAAAAATAAAAGACAAGGGGATGACAGTCGCCTGCGATGACAAAATCGCATCAGATCGTCAACAATGGACAGTATTGGAAAGTTGATCCTCTTGGTGCAGAGATTCAACGAGTTGTACCGGGTGACCCAATAAGACTGTTCCTCGGCCATATGTCGGGAACCGTTCGTCGTATGACTAAGGGGTAAAAAAATTATTCGGTAAATCGGTCATGAAGAATCGCTGGAAAATATTTTTTAGTTCTAAAAATGACCACCAGAGGGCGAAACTGCCATCTTAAACTTTAAAATTGCATTTTCTTTAAATTTCGCATAATAAACTAAACATTCTTTTTTCACATTTTTAAAGAGAACCGGTTTATCCAGCCATTCTTCATAACTGATTTACTCCATAATTTTTTGACCCCTAAGTCATATGACGAACGGTTCTCGAGATATGGCCGAGGAACAGTCTTATTGGGTCACCCGGTACATAATCCAAGAAAGAACGGACCGGTAGCAGGAGTGACGGCAGAATCGAAACTGAGTGAAACTGAAATATAGCACAGTCCTGAAACGCTTTTTTTGTGATGCCATTCAGCTCCGTCGGCGCATCGTTGCAAATCTTCTTCCTTTCAAAGGTTTTTTGAGTTTGGGGAACAAGAAGAAGTCTAAAGGGGGAGAATTCAGACGAGTAGAGGTGAGTGGAGAAGAACAGTGATCGAGTGTTTGACCAAAAACGGACGATTGTTGAGAGCTGAATGGGCTGGAGCGTTGTAGTGATGAAAAAACCAGTCACGACTTCTCCACATTTCTAGTCTTCTCCGCCGGATAGCTTCCCGCAGACGTTTAAGTAAGTATGGTTCACTGTGCAGCCTTGGGGGAGGTACTCGTGGAACAGGAACAGGAAAAGTTCTTTACCAACTCGTGAATACATTCGGTCCAGACAGATGCAGTGGCACGTTATTTTTTCATGTATTTACAGGCGGCGATGCTGTGTCAGGATTTTTTGAAAAGGGTAAAAAGTCCTTTTGGAAAACATGGCTTGGAAAACCCGATTATTACCAAAAGTTAAACGGACACTAGCATTTTTAGGGTAGGCGGGATAGTCGTATTTTCGATTTTTAAATGCCATTAGTAATTTGAACGATCCTGATTGTAAAATCAGAATTCCAAATATTACGAAGGGCTCGAAATTGCCTTCTGACACCTCCCCGGAGTTTAAATTGCAAATTCAGACATTGACCTCATATTTCGAGGTTTAACACAGAATTTCAGGTTTTAGTTATTGAGTTTTAGTTCGTATAATACGTCGACTTCATTTTTTTAGTATCGAAAGTAGTAGTTGTTTTTGATTCCTTATCCTGACTAATCTATGACTTGCGACGCTCGAAATTCCGGCTTCAAACGTGTAATTCCGACTTTAAATAAATGGCCCTTCGACGCCTTTGAATTCCAAATTACGATTAAGCTCAGCCGTTCGCGTGATTTTTTTATTACGACCTTTAAACTTGAAATTCCGACGTACATGCAAATTCCTAAATAATTCATGACCCTCGCGCAGTTCATCCAAAAATCTCCATTTCGAAGGATTCGCAAACAACGCGTATATAAATGAGAATAAAATGACACTCTCTCGCTAACCCCTAGGACTTTACGCATTGTCACGGTAGCTTTAACGAATAATAAGTCAGGATAAATTCCTACCGAATTTGTCATACAATTTAAATTTTATTTCCATAAAAATGCAAATCTATTACAGAAACATTTCTGAGGGAAAGCCAGCCCTTCCGTTTTCCTTGACCCAAGATCGGGTTACGGAAGTATTTTTCATGCACATTACGTGCCAAGGTGTAATTAATACGGCGAGGGGGGAAACCCTTTCACTTAAAAGGAAAATAAAATGTAATACCGGCCAAGTAATCCATTAAGCGTGACGTTTTAGATTTCGGGTATAAAGCAAAATCTTAACGACGCCACTTTGTTTTAACGTTCTTTTAATAGCGGACGGTAAAGATAATAAGTAAATTACCATAATTCATTCGTGGAACCTTTGACATTTTTTTTTGGCCGAAAACGGTAAATTCAGGTGTATTAAAGTCAGTGTTACGAGTCGGTATATTTTAAGACGGTAGTAGTATGTCAGGGAACGGCAAATGCTTCTTTCGGCATAAATTATTCATTAGC